CTAATACAGGATAAACTGGCTATTGAGGTTAGTTTGTGACAAGATGCCGATCAATTTAGTTTGCAAATAAGCATCACCCTTTCTAAATTATGATTTTTTTTTTCAATACAGAACAAAATAGTATTTCGACTGGGCAGTATACTTAATTTATCATTTTCTTCTGGCCTGCGTGTGTAACCGTCATAGGTCCCCTACGCGCCCCTGTGTACTTCGTTTTTGTCCAGCCCACAGACACAGAACATTGATGTTCAACACATAAAAGAGGCATAGCAGGCATAGCATAGCATATGTTTGAAAGGTTATGTGCCAGGAACACAGTTATTTAAATCTGGTTCAAAATCGGAAATTTGTTTAAGGCTCGATCTTAAAAATAACTTATACACGTGTCTATAGTGAATAAAAACGCCGGAAAGGATTTGCAGAACACCTTTAAGATAAGTTTGTGAGCATTTACTTATGATGTACTTTTAAGGTGATCGGCCTTTTATTTTTGTTGTAAAATCTTCAATCAGTAATTAAATATATTGTTCTTATCCATCAATTTGACTGTATGAAGTTCACGTAGCCGCTTGACACCGACACGGGAGGACAACACTGGAAAGTACTCCAGCTCTTGAATCTGCGGAAACGTGCTTTTCTGTTCGCTGCTTGCCAGTGTGAAACACCGGGTCCCTGGGTATGCCAAAAAGGACTTTTTGCTCACATTATAGGCCTGAAGGCAATTACACGAAATGTGCAAAAATATAGAGATAATAAATTGTGTTCTAAATAATCCCATACTGAAAAAAAAAAAACAAAAAAAAAAAACAAAGAACATAGATGCATGCAGTGATGTTCCTAATTACAGATAAATAGCGAGACAAATATTAATATAATCCTAACATACATCGCATTTGAGCATCGGCTTGCACGAGCTCGAAACTTCGCGAAATACTGCCTCGGGAGGCTAGCGTTATATTCGGTTTTACGTGCACTTGTTTTGGACCACTGATCTCAATGACAATTGCTGGATCGCGCTTGCCGCTCCCGCAAGTGAAGCCACCGGGCCTCACTCGCTTGGGATACGATTTGCCGTTTTTGCTAGCCTTTGCTGCGGTTTTCCAGCGTGCTGACGACACGTTTTCTAGTCGTTCGTCGTCATTCGCCGAAGAAGTTTTTTGAAGACTCTGTGTATTGTTGAGACTTGCCGTTGTGAACACGTGGAAAAGTTTACGAAAGTGCAGTGTCGCAGGAAAAAGGCACAAGGCGTCGAAAGGAAGGGCTGGCGGCGTGTTCAAAGCATCCTTGGCACGCCGAAGTGCCGTGTCTCTGTGCCTTCGCGCGCTTGGATACCGACCAAGAACCGACGCCGTGTGAATGTGTTTAGCGAGTGCAATGTGCGTGAAGCCGTATCAAAAGGTACAACTCGTCGAAAACGTGTCGCCGGGGTCGCGGCGTGATCAAAGCTTCCTTGGCACGCCCAGTGATGCATCTTTGCGCCTTCGCACGCTTGGATACCGGTCAAGAATTGACGCCGCGCCAAAGTTCTGAACGTGTGTCGCGTATAGATGCCTTTAGATCATTTATATATATCGGCCACGGAGTTCTGGATCGTCCAGCTGTTCCGGTGAGTTGCTATCAATAAAAGGGGGAGATCTGTACGTGTTCTTATGTACTATATTAACCATGGCTGTGTCCCAAATCTACTCTAATAGATTCCGTGGGAGCACGAATAGGGCAACGTTGTGGAGCCAGGGGGGTTTTCGAAAGCAAAAGTACAAGACGGCGAGAATGAAAATCTTTGAAGCGCGGCCGATATGGTCGTGTGCAATCTGTTGACCAATTACAATTAGGCGAGCCGCGCTCAAACGTCAAGTGCAATTAAGTAGGTTGATAATAAGCCAGCACTGATCAGTGATGAGGAGCTGTTGTGCACGGTATTGTGTAAATCGTCTAAGGACGAAAAAAAGACGTACCTTCCCCCCATCTTCCGTCGCTAGTGGACGCTGGATTAAGCTCGTTCCTAAACCGCGAGAGGAAAAGACGCTGATCCACAGGCACGAACAGCTTCACGCACATTGCACTCGCTGAACACATACACACGGCGTCGGTTCTTGGTCGGTATCCAAGCGCGCGAAGGCACAGAGACACGGCACTTCGGCGTGCCAAGGATGCTTTGAACACGCCGCCAGCCCTTCCTTTCGACGCGTTGTGCCTTTTTCCTGCGACACTGCACTTTCGTAAACTTTTCCACGTGTTCACAACGGCAAGTCTCAACAATACACAGAGTCTTCAAAAAACTTCTTCGGCGAATGACGACGAACGACTAGAAAACGTGTCGTCAGCACGCTGGAAAACCGCAGCAAAGGCTAGCAAAAACGGCAAATCGTATCCCAAGCGTGTGAAGCCCGGTGGCTTCACTTGCGCTGCAGCGAACAAGCGGGGAAGCGCGATCCAGCAATTGTCATAGAGATCAGTGTTTTGGACCCTCACTTTATACAACTGTGCGCTTTATCAGTCATGTGCTCTAACCTTTTTATTAGGCTGCCGTATGTCATCGCGACACTATAGCTATACCTACTGCACAGTTTTACAATTTGGACATCTACTTTTGCCAGTGTTGCGAACATCGCATTTCACCAGGACACTGATCTGTTGTTGCACGTGACGACATCGCACTAGATGCTGGTGGTCCTTGCGACTTGTTCATGATGAAGAATCCCAATCCGGTGGTGCGAAATGTACGCTGCAGTAGGTTCGTGCTCAGTGCGAGTCATGTATTCGAGAGACAAATTATTTTTGCTTTGTGCAACGTCGTGAGGAATGGCGCGAGCGTCTGACACCACGAAAATGCGCTTTCTGGCAGGAGTGCTTTTGCAATCAAAGTAGTTTCCGGGTCCAGGTTTTCTGGTATGTGCCCAAGATTCGGGGCAGAGGAACCCATGACAGGTCCACTTCAGCGGAGCGAACGGTGGAGAGGGGGTCGCCTCCTCTCCAGCGTTCGCTCAACTAAAGTGGAAAGAGGTGGGAGGAGCTTCCACTTTGTTCTTGACCACCTCCTTCTTTTTTTTTTTTTTTTGCTTTTTTAGAGAATGCGCTTGATTTTGGGGGGACTCCCACCTTCATTTGGGGGTGTTAATTCGACGATTATAGTTGTGCGTCTTTTTCTTATTTATTTATTTAATTATACATACGGCTGGCCCATAGGTCGTGGCAGGGAGGAACAATAACAAAACGATGCAGTTCAAAGCTTCAATGCTTTTATTTTGCAGCCAAAAACTGTGAACTTTAAACAAACCACGGAGTTGGTCGAAGCTAGGGTAAGAACTTGAGAACGACATTCCTGTCAGACTAAAGCTGCCACCTTTCGGCTGTCCCCGTCAAGAGATCTTTCTTTTCAGGTATCTCTCCCTTATACACTTGCAGTTACATCAGTCCTTTCAATGATTCTATTTTCGGGGACAATGTTCTAAAACAGCTCAGCAAAAAAGAAAAAAAGTGTCTGGGTGCTTTAATAATCTGTACATGTAAAATGAGTCGTGCAACAATTTTTGTATTTTCAGTAAATACCGCTGAAAACTAATTCCTGGCATTAATAACTTGAAAAAACACCCATATAGTTTTCCTCTGTTGAATGGCAGCCGCAGAAAAAGCAAAGGAAAAAGAAACAGCTTTCCCCTCTTCAACTCGCAATTAGAAGAAGCGGTCACGTGATTTGAAGCTAAATATATTTCGCCATTCCGTGTTCACCATAGTCATGCGCTGTGGTTGGTTGGTAAATCATAGAGCATGGGCTGTACTTTGACATTGTTAGAGTTCGGCAATTCTATCTTTGGTTTAACGTGAGCCATTGCCCGAATGTTTGACGATGCCCATTGTCACGTACCCGAGAACTCGACGCGGGCTTACGACAATCGAGTACATCACGGTGTGACGTGAATCGCGGTGCGAAGTCGTGATGTCATGTGACGTCACGGTGTCAACAAAGCTAATACATCTAGTGACATTTTCATTTTAAATCAACTTGACGCAATGAGTCACGTGACGTCGCGGGCCCAAGTGACTTGACATTATGTCTTAACACCATGACGTCACGTGACCACATGACACAATTAATCACAGTGCCAATAAAAAAAAGCGCCACGAAAACCCATAATTTCCCATACGTTGCAATTCCTTATATGACAATTTGATGAATACATAGAAATACAGCTGCCAATTTTTATTCTCAGATATTTTTTTTTTTTTTTTTCGTGATACTTACCGTGAAACGTTTTGAACTAGTTACTGTTATATCTTTTCCGGTTCGGTTCCAGTTCAGTTCCAAGATGGCGGCGAAGATTCCAGTTCGATTAGGTTTCGGTTCGGCTAAAGATAATGGGTCTGTTCCGGTTTTAGGTTCGGTTCAGTTCCGGATCGACATTCTATAAGTTAATCCTGACTTTGCTTAAACGCTGCGCGGCTGCGCGGTGTGCGCGGTCAATCGCAGGTTGGCAGCGCATCCGCCGGGCACAACTTGCTCAAACTCGCGCGCTTTTTCGGACGAAAATGCGCTTTGCGGTGGCAATATTGTCTCCATCATGATTCCACCTATACAATAGTCGACCAAAGCGAATGTTTGTCCTGTCCGTCCTCTTCGTCTGACTCTTTCGTATATATTTTTGAAAAAAATAATAGTTCATATTTATTTCAAAGGGTGTAAGAACATTTTCAAAAGCGAAAACAAAACTGAAACTATGTCGCCCCTCCCGTTCACGCTCTTCGCAAAACACACATACACACAAGCACGCACGCACGCACGCACGCACACACACCCGCACGCACGCACGCACGCGCGCTTTGGCGCGCACACACACACACACATACACACACACACAAACGCACGCACACAAAGCTCTTTTTATCTTATTTTTATATTTGTTATGCACATGTGAATAAACTAGTTTACCCATAATTCAACAACGGGTTTGGCCTAGGAGAAATTCGAAATTCAATAAATGTTTATGGTTGGAAGACTTCCCGTTAGATGGTGCCACTTGTCCGACTTCGCGACGCTGGTTACTATTTCGACGGAGAAGGGATGCTCTTTTTCTTCAAAATCCCGAATTTTTGACAGGGCGCCCTTCGTGCGGTCATCGCCGGTAATAATTTCTCATGGTTTGATGCGTGCTAACGTGACCCTCGTCCACCTCTGAACGAGACAGTCCTTCGGCAAAAGGTAGGTGGCACAATAAGCCCGAGGATTGTTTGTACACAAACTCCGCGCTGTAGCCCTGTTAGCTGCGAGTGTATGACCCCTGTACGATACCTACGTACAGACGTCTCGGCTTCTCTGGTTTTCCGTTCTCCCGTTCCGATGACGAACGGTTAATAGATCTCTGATGCCAGGTTTCCGCTATCACTGATCAATTGCGAGACGAGAGTTAACTCCCCTTGGCACTCCCCCCCCGGTTGCTTTGCAGTCAACATGCCGCAGGACTCGTCGAGCAAGCCAGCAAAATCTAAAGGGATCAAGAACTTTGCTCGCGTCCTCAGTGACAAGGATGCTGACCTACCATCCCCCTATGCAAGGAACGACGATGGAGAACCCGTTTTGCCATCCGCTTTCAAGTGAGTCACATTCGCAGCCCTCTTTGGCGACATGCGCAATGGACAAGTTGACATCGTCGCGTGTCTCGTCACGGTTCTAAGTTTAGTAGCGATTTGCGTACCACTGTCCACGACGGTACAAGAAGCCCCGAGTTACGCGATGTTATCATCTATGTCGCGTTACCGATATTGGACGCTCGGAATCGCTGCTATAGTCTTCGATCCCTCAAACTCGAATCTAGGAGGGGAGTTTGGAATGTATTGAAGTTGCACACTCCGCGTTCGTTGATTAACTGGCAACTGATCGCGAACTCTTTGGCTTTCGCTACGGGTGGTGGTGATTTAAACAGGGAATGAACCTGCTCATAGACTCACTGAAGGAACTTGGAACTTTTGCAAACGGGCTTAACAAGCCGGGGGTCTATTTCCATACAACAAAATGAAGCTCATCTGTCAACAATGCTGTGTTTTGTCTTTTCATCGTCTGCTCCGGTGCAAGATTCTGCTTGCCTGTAGTTTTAAATGTTGGGGCACACCCCAGAGGTGACACAATGCAGAGCACAAGTTTGTCTGCATCTTGCGCAGGGGTTGCGATGATGCCAGAATGCCGAGCTATTATTGGCTGATCGAATGAAATAGTGGGTAGACCTCGAGGCATCTAGCATTCAGGTCTACCCACTGTCTTTCAATCGAAGCCAATCGGAGCTCAGCGTCGTTCCGACGTCACCGCAACTCCTGCGCAAGAAGCAGACGACTTTCTCTCCGCATAGGTTCCTTAGGCAGCTGTGAAGATGGAGGCATTGGTTTAGGCTTCTCAGGAGTTCAAACAAACTCTTGACAAGTGTGGCAGCCTTCGTCTCCAGGGAAACTCTAGAAATATTCATACACTAGTGTGCATACTGTGGCTGCTATGAAGGCAAATGGCACAAAGTTTGACGCTCGGAACAGAAGCAGCCTCTTCTGTTTTTGTCCTTCATTGCTCGCTACTCTTGAAGGTATTTTTTTCTGGTCTCCAATCAATAGCACAGAAAGTGTGGCATACTAAGCTTTCTCGTATTCACATTCCTTGTGGTTATGAGTATGCCAAACTTGAGTACAAAAAAGGTAAGAGGTGAATGAAAAGGGATAATGGGGAAACCTAAGAACTGCTCGCTTACATTCAGAGCCATGTTGCTGGCATGTTTGCTAATGCCTGAGTCTCACTGGAGCGAAAAAATGGGAACAACTGACTCCAACAAGCCTTAAGCATGTGCCACATTTCATTTAATTTCATTTCATTTATTGTCCTCAAAGGCATCTGGCGATGCATTACATGAGGGGGGATAGCAAAAAAATGGGGAAAAGTCGCGATATACACATTACAAGAGTAAAGAATGATCCTGGACTAGTTTTCACATAAAAAACACAGCAAACGCCATACACACAGTATGTAAATCAACAGTTGAACATAAGCGAATTCCATACTCTAAAATAAAACAAAAATAACAATGGGATAGAAGGCGATCATTATGAATACAAAAGGACATCAGGGAGCAACAAATTAACAAAACAGTTCTTCACACCTCTGCTTAAATCGATTCGGGTCAGATAAAATTACAACGTCGTTAGGAAGACTATTCCAGTCTTTTATAGCTAATGCGAGTGGAGAAAACATGAACAAGTTGGTGCGTGACTTAATGGGTTCCACTTTGCACGAGTGATCAAGCCTAGCAGATGTGAACTGTGCAGGTGAACATAAGAATTTGCTAAATAGTGTTTCGTCGTAATATATTTGATGAAAAAAAACATAAACGAGCAATATTTTGCCGCGTTGCTAACGGGTATAAACCCAAATTAATTTTTACACCAGTGGCACTTGTTAGGGGCGAATACTCATGACTGATAAAGAGCGCAGCTTTATTCTGTAGACCTTCTAATTGTAGCGTTAAGTAGTTTTGGTGAGGATTCCATATTATACTAGCATATTCTAGCTTCGGAAGGATAATAGTTTTGTAAGCAAGAAGTTTTGTCGATCGTGGGGCGGAATGAATGTGGCGTTTCAAGAAACCCAGTTTCCTTGATGCATTGGCGACTGTGCTTTCTATATGTGTTTTCCAAGACAAATTGTTAGTGAAATGGACACCTAAGTACTTATAGTGGTACATTTTCAATATCCTGGTTCAAAATTGAATATTGGAAATGTGATATGTTTTTCTTATTTGCGACTGTTAATACGCGACATTTACTGGAGTTTATTTTCATTTGCCAGGTAGTACACCACTCGCTAATTTTGTTTTGTCACATGCAGGTGGAGCTACCATTTACCAGTCTTGTAATTTCTCAGCACTTGTGAAGAAAGCATGAACGATTGCAAGCCTGTGAAAGATACCTCTGCGTGCATGCTGCTCATGCCTGAGGCTTATCGGTTTCGATAGTTTGATAGTTTCTTAATACGGAAATTTGGGCGAGTTGGCGATTCGTCTTGAGGTTACAGCGCACAGTTTCTCGTTTTGTCCTTGTCTTGTGCGCTGTAAGCTCAAGGCGATAGTTTCTGTTTGTCACTCTAGCAGGTCTTGAGCGTTATGATTATAGACCACCGGGTGCCAATCATATGCAAGCCAGGTAGCAGACTATATGTGAATTTGTATGTTTTTGATTGAAACATGATTCAGCCTGATAAATGCATCTTGAAGGCATATTGAGAAATGTGTGTTTAACCCAGTTTCTTTCACTAACTGCTGGGTGGGGATGAGTGCATCACTCATGCACACCTGTGCTGAATAACTTTGAAGAACTATTCAGCAGAGTTGCCTAATACCCAGTCACACGATCATAAAGGCACATCTAGCTAAGGGACCTTTATGGTCAGTGGCGCATCAGTTTGTGATCCTCCGTGCATGGAGTATGCTTGCAACCCAAGAGTGCGGGCTGATTTGCCGATTGCAAAAGGACCCGTGTTAAAAATACTTTTAGGCTGTCTTTGTGATGGGGGTATAAGAAGCTTTCATTGGAGTGCTGCTCTCATTTCTGCCCTTTGACTTACTGAAGATTCCTCCTGCGTGTGAGGTGAAACATTTAATTAAATTGTTATTCTTGTTATGTCAAGCCGTTTTCTTTATTGCTTTTATCATGTCTTTGCCTGGCTTCTGGATACAAGGGAAAGAAATGCATGCAATTCGACGATAGCAATATGGGACAACCAATTCCTTCATTATACAAGCTCAATAACTTTTTTTTTGTAGTCCAAGGGCTAACCTGCTTGTGCATGCATACTATATAGAAATGTGATACAGTCACGGAACACTCATGAGAAATAAGTGTCTCCCAGTGCTGCAATGATTGCTGTTTTCACCGTCCATAATGTTGGTGCAATCACAATTCAAATCCCAAAGTGTTTCCTTCAGTCATTCTTTGGGCTCCTTCTATTTCTTTTAATGAGATAAATAAAACATGATTCCCTCATGCTTTATTCATCCCATAAAACCAATGGAGCAGCACATCCTGCACCTACAGTGCCTTGCACCTACAGTATCCTGCAGGTTCAACCACCATTGAAAAGCAGATGACTAATAAATGTACAAAGAAATAAGCACAAGCTTCTTTGTTACATACATAATCGTGGTGACACTTTCATTTTTTTTAGATTATTTGGAAAAAAGAAATAAAGATCCCTTATTTTTTCTGATTACAAAAAAAAAAAATTAACTCCTGCAAAAGTCTACCTTTGTATATGTGACATTGTGAAAAACATACTGCCTTTAGCTGGTTAGGCATCTTCTGTGGAGATAGGAGATTCTGGGAACGTTTTGAGCCTGGCAGGTCCTTCAACGGTCCAGTTAAAGAAGTGTTTGGTTTTAATGTAATATAATATACTTTGTTTGCTTTTAGTGTAATATAAAAAAAAACAGGTATGACAACGTTTTTTTATGAAAAGAAAAGCTTAAAAAAGTAAAATATATGTACTAAATAAATATCTCGCTTAATGGTGTGGTACAACACATTTGTAAAGGCAGTAAGCTTTATTGTAAAACTGAATTAAAAAAATCGTGAGATATTTTGGCAAAACCAGTTTTGGGGCATGTGGTTAGCATGAAGCCAACAACACTTTGTGCCATAATATGCTGATAATATGTTAAAATGTTTGCTTCTGCTGTATTAAACAGTCAAGCAAATAAAGAAAAAAAACAGTGCACCATTGATTGGAAAATTAAATTAAATATCTAGAAAAAACACTAATGTTCCTTTTTAAATGTTAATTTCCTTTGGTTCTAATGTATTAAAACTATAACTAAATTGAGATTCTTTATTTTTTCAATCTCTGGTTGTTCTAAAGCCATTCTGAAGTATACTAACATAAGAAACTTGACTGTGACCTATGGAATTAAGGTGGCCCAAAACTGGTCCAAGAACAAGTGTGGAAATGGGACTTTTATGTCGATTCATGCATGTTTATACTCGTGTTCTAGTTTCTCTTTGTACTTGCATTAAACAAGGCATTTCTTGCATTCAATCAAGTAAATAACTATTTTCGAATTACAATAAATGTGTCATTTACTTTCAAACTAAACTTGTTTGCTGTACTCGGAATGATGACAGAAACCTGAACACAGATTGCAACATTTATTATTACATTTTGAACAACCAAGGGGAACTGTGTTACATCCAGTGCAGTTTCTAATATTGTTCTGACCATTTTACTTGCAAGTGCTTGTTTTTTTAAATCCAGATTAGTTCAATATATAGATATATACATACTTCAGTGAAGCTACATCAGCACCACCTGGGGTTGTGTGTGAATATATCATGTTGAATGTATAAATGCATAATACTTACTTTGTCACCTCATTGGAACCTTTAGTGTTGGTTGAGGTTATTTGAAAACATTTACTGAAGAATGAACACAGTAGAGCGAGTACAGGGAGAATATGTCTTATGGGGGAGTAAGATAAGCTGGATCTTAACCTAAGGCATGTACGCTGTGGGGCACTGGAGCCACAAACTAGCGTTCATCAATTTTTTTTCTTCTCTTAGGATCGAAAGGT